CAATGGTGAAGAAGGCAAAATCGATGAAGAAAATAGGTACTTTTTACACAAACTCTGTAAATGGGTGTTGACACATGTAGTCCTATGTAGTCACTGACTGTTACATGTAGTTTTGTAATCTAAACCAAAGATCTGTTCCGCTAACACTTGATAATCAACACGGATGACTGTTGAGGAGGTGGAAAACCTAGACGCAGGTATTTTTCATGTTCTCCACCATCTATTTTAGTTTCCCCCTCAATCTATACATTATCCATACTTGTGCGTAGTTGTATTAACGGTTAGCTCAAGACTGGCGCATCTATGGATAATCAAAGAAATTCGGGACCAACAACATGCGTATTTATCTACAATACTCCATAGTTACATGTAGTTACATTGTGTATTCTACCAACCATCGTCATACAATACATGCTTGTTTTGGTTGGTGCAGATTAAGAAACACTGCAAGCTCGCCAGGCACTAGACAAAAGGGGCTACAGTTTGCAATATCGTTCGACGCTGCATAAAATGGCTAAATTCTTCTCAGATGTCCATCTCCAACCAGAGCACTATGATTGCCTCCGACGTACACCCTTTTAAAACAGTGTCCTCCCTTTTGCCAAACACAAAATAAGCGAGGCTTCGGTCACCAGAACGCAAATCGGTGTGTGGAAAATACTCAAGATTTACGATGCTAAAGCACAGGAATTTGTAATTGGTGGCAAGAATCTCACTATAGAACCAGAAGAATGTGAATTGATTTCAGGTATAAAATCTGGGTCAGTACGAATGCGTTTTGACGGATCCCAACCGCCAATTGACGGCCTCGTGCATAGGTAATTCCATAATCATAGTCAATTGACCTTTTCGGATGTAATAAATCAGTTGATGGCATCGTTGGTGGGGAGGGATCAAGAGGACACCGAGGACGTGATCAAGTTGATAGTCCTCCACCTAATGAGTAGCTGCTTCTTCAACTCATCACCAAGCATCGTTGCTTGGTGGATGTTCAAGTATTGTGATAGCATAGCGAACATGGGAGGTACAACTGGGCGCGAGGGATTACGGAATTTTTATTAGACCGTGTAAGATCATCCCGTGCTCATAAGGTGACGGGTTGCACGCCATTACTACTGGTAATTATTCTGCCTACATCACCATAAAATACATAGTAATATGTAGATAATATGGTTATGTGTAGTTATGTTCATGCAAATGAGGTGCTTCTGTGGTAGTTACTAACAATTCTTCCCCGTAAAATGTGTGCAGTACTGGTTATGCGAACGAAGTAATCTGATAGTGTCGACGACACCAAACGCATTCCCATGATTCTTAAGGTGGAACCTAACAAAAGTAGGTAAGTTACTGTCGTTTAAAGCAATTGCATTAATTACATCATAAGCAATCTGCATGAACAAAATCGTTGGAAAAAATCGCCAAGAAGCCCCATTAAATGGTCACATCATCATCGAATACAACATCGACGAAGACGAACCTGACAACTCTACCGATGAAGAAATTGAAGACAATGTCCCCATTGCAATCTGGCAGAGGAAGCAGAAAACAAAAGAAGCTGTGGAGAACCAACATCAAGGAACATCAAGCCGGCATGACAACAATTACGCCTCACTACGGGAGGAAATTGCCAAACATATCGAAAGGGAAAGCCGTTACAAATAGCATATTGCAGATCTGCAGTCCGAAATGTCAATGATGATTGCAACAGATGAAGTTGAAATGTTGACAACAACAAATGTAACACTCAAAGACGAAAACAAAAGACTAGCAGCCCAGCTTGTTGAGCTCAAACAACAATTGTATGAAGAAGCAAACAAATTGAAGACAATGAAGGGTAAAATAGCAACTATACAACATCACATGCATTCAATGAAAACCCAAAAGGAAGAAAACAATGACCTACACTTGGAGATTACATGCTGAAGAACTCCATACAGGTTCTCGAAGATGAGGAGGCAGCTCAAGAGGCCCGTCTGACTAAAGAGCAGGAAGATGATTTGTATAAGACAAGAGACGAATATGATGGTCCGAGTTTTTCCATCATGACACAAACCCAACCCGCGTCCCGAAAAGAAGATAAATCAAACAAACCGGAACCTATAGAACAACGCGGAGGGACTGCTGCTGAGACGGATAATTTTGATCAAACAGCAAATCCAGGCTACAATCTTCCCCCCCTTTCGGAGTTCGGCTTTCATATAATTGAATTACTAGCAGAAGTGCAGATACTGAAGGGCAATGAGAATAAAATGAAGGCAACCATCGACGAAGGAGACTTAAAAATCGCAGAACTAGAGGCCAATGTTGCCGCCTTTGCACAAACACTTGACCAGAAGGTTAGCTTCGGGTATCAGTCGGATAGCGACTTCGAAATACGGGATGAAGACGTTGCAGCCAGAAAGTTGGATCCAAAGTCTGTTGTTGGTAAGAGGACAAGGTCCCGCAAACCAAATGTGACCCCACGAAGCGTGAAAAAGGTCAGACGGTAAAACTCATACAAGATGTTAAAGGTTTACATAGACATGGATGAGGACGACAGAATACGGGTGGACCTTATCGCTGATCCGTTGCTATAGCAAGAGTAATTATATTGTTGTATCTATATCTAACTACACATAACTATATATTACTATAGCTATAATGAAACAATCAATGATTTACACCACTGCGTGCTGGAAGAATCCACGTGGCACCGAGCAAGTCATCATGTCTGACATCTTTCATCTGATAAAAGGGGAACAAATTGCCAGTGGTGTAAGTATTCATTGTAAGACACATATTCGTACACATACACGAATTTAATATCATCTGTGACCGAAACAGGTAATGGACTTCTACTGCAAAATCTTGGAAGCCCAACAATGTCAAGGTGTGTTCGCTATTCAAGGACCGGACGATTTACTAAAGGGCACAACAATGGTCTTTCCGTCCATGCTACTGGTAATATTTCCAAGATACTAAAATATTTACTTCACTCCACTTAAAGTTAATGACATATCCTTACATTAACAGACCAACCTCCGTGAGTCAAAGGACACAACGTTCACAATACCAGCAGCGCAATCAAATCATCGGTATCTCGCATTCCCACTGCACTCTATGGGAAACCCAGAATATCGAGGGAACCATTGGACGTTGTTGATACTAGAAAAACTCAACAAAGAATGGCGGTTCTACAACTCTTATAGACCTCAGACACCGAACGCTAAAGATGTGTACAAAACATATGCAAAAGACATGGTACGATACTAATTTTATTTACCATTGACTGATTGAAAAATTCAATCAAACTCATAAGGGTTTTTTTTTTCAATATTATCAGAAAAAATATATAGAGAAGTCCGCCCGTGCACAGAAGATAAATGACATCCTTCTCCGCACCGGTCTGTTCGACATTGCTGACTCCCCGCAACAAGACCCCGATTCAAAGGACTGCGGGGTGATAGTTCTCATCATTATTAGAGAATTGTTCGCCCAGCTACCACTTATAAATCCAGACCCAGTTGATGGCATGAACAATATGAGGAGAGAGATCGTTGAGGCGTTCTTGCATTATAGGATGAAGTGATAACTCTGCATTAACTACAAAAAAAAAAAAACAACGTAACTAATGCGTCTAGGCATTTTTTTGACGGTATTATTTGTGTTCTGCCACATTAGTACTTTAACTATGTTTTTGTACAACTTTTGTTTTGGATGTAATTCAAACATAGGACATATGGTTCTATTTTGCATGCATTAATGTGATTATAACCTAATGCAACTCTATTGTATATTATCCAAGTTAATAATTACCTGCGACTGAAATTGTTCTGCATGATATTGTATATGAATAAACAAAGAATACTACAAGTCACTACACATTACTACATATAACTACTGGTTTCCCGCCATTGACCACCTCAACGCGCGCCCCAAGAAAAAAATGGATTTTTAAGATGGGCGACTGACTGCCTACAGTCGCCCGTGTTACGAAAAAATGATCATTTAATGCAACATTTCGAGTATCAACAAATCCAGTACCACTGCCATACGCTTTATAAAGCAGCCACCCCTATTCACAAGTTATAACTCATACATAAAGCACGCAACATCCCTACCGCATAATACCAATATAAAAAAAAATGACTGCGATTCCCGACATAGCAATGGAAAGAATATGGTGGGAGATGGAGTTTCTTCTCAAATATAGAGACCACGCATACCCAGAGGAGGATGCCTACAACCTCATTAACGGGCCAGATGGCGGTCAGGAGCAGCATCGCAAGTGCAAAATAGGTGAGCACATACTGATTCACCACGAAACCATGAACACGGACATATGTTCATTCTGTTTGTTCCTCCCTGACCCACCAATGCCGCCGTGTGTATCCGCGCCACCACCACCAGTTTCGCCGCCGCCACCGTCTGCTGACGAATCATCTTCAGACTACTACCTGGAAGATGAAGAGACGGGCGAGCACGATTGGGAATCTGCCGACTCATGGGATTAAACTTATTTTGTGATTTTCAATAATGATTTGCTTTAGTTATTGCCCTTTTGTATATTATGTTGTTATTTTACTTGAAAGTTTCATTCCATTGTCCCAATTTTTTCCCCACAAACAATCAATTAGCTTATGTGAATTTGCAACTGGCAAACCTACATAAAAACTGAGATTTGAAGTCAACAACAACAATATAACTACATGTAACTATTATTACAAATACAGAAAAATCACTACAAGAATATATACTTTTGATAGCATATTATTATAGCGTTTATTTGTTAGGTGCTATTGTTTCATCTTTAATTTTTTAATTGCTTAAAACAAATGCTATAATAGCTTTTAATTTATCGGGCTCCTAATCTTTAAATAAAACGCTATAATATTTATTAAAACTTTAGCGGGGAAAAAAAATATTTTCCCGGTATCGTAAATATAATAGAATATAATAGGTTTGATTTTTTTTTGTCGGTCATATATCGTCCCCTTCATCTTCTTTACAGAACCCCTCTTTTCTTTTCAAAAGAATAAACCTAATTACAAAAACCGAGAAATCAATTTCTTCTTCTTCAAATCGATTTGCAGAAACTCGGGCGTTCGTTCAGTTCGTCGGTAGCTACATCCTATTTTCGCTTAAATACTCAATTTCACACGCATAAAACCTAATTCCACATAGCCACAGAAAACTCCTAAAATCAATTTGTTCTTCTTCAAACCGATTTGCTGAGATTCTTGAGGAGATACGACCACGAGGGCTCTTCAAACTGATTCTTTGAAATTCTTGAGGATATACGGCGACGAGGGCTGGAGCACCAGAGGACAATTACCAAACAAGTAATTATACGATTCTCTCTACTGTTTTTTTTTTTTTTTTTTTTTGGGATTAACATGAATTTCTATATGTTTTATGTTTTGTTCTTCATAAACGGGGTAGTTTAATTGAATATGTTGAAGTATTCCTATTTAAATTCTTCAAAATCAGGATACACTTGCTTCAATTTGGTTGGATTTTTTTTTTATAAGTTTGTGATTCTTCTATTATGCCAAAACTTGGAAAATAGCATTGATTGTTTTTCTAAGTCTGTGATTCTGGCATAATTCCCAACCTTAGGAAAGAGGCAGACCCTTCTCTTCTCTTTTCTTATTTTTTTTTTCTTTTATTTATTTATTTATTTATTTATTTATAATTTGAAAGAGGCATACTTCAATTGTGTTGACTGTGTTTGTAATTTGTTGGTGATTCGTGCATTATGCACTTGTCAATTGCAGTATTGTAAATTTGGAATGTTGAGAATTGATTTTATCGCTGGCAAATATTGCTGATGTTTGTTTTGTTGATATAACTTATATAAACTACTGTTCAATTGAAAAAAAGAAGTATGAACCAAACGGGTTTTCGGAGAAAAATAATTTGAAAGATTAAGCCTACTTAACTACGATTTTTAATATTTCTTTGCATCTAGTGTTAGACCTATAATTTGGTTTAAAACTATAGACTAAATGAATACAACCCAAAGAACTTCTGAGAGTTATAAAAACTGAGAATGAAAAATAAGATTGTCATAATATCAATGCATCTGTATTTTTATAAGATTAAGCATAATATTATCCAAAAAAAATATTGGTGTTATTTCTTGGATATAAGTTATATGTATGCTTCTATTTATCACTGACAGTTTTATACGAAACTGATTCTTAGTTATGTTTTTTTTTTTGTAGGAGTTTTAGTAAAGATAAAGGATTTAGCCTGTTTTATCAAATCAATGCCGTTAAAACTAGATGGGCTGCTAAAATATTTTTGCAACTCAGGTAAATATATGTCATGTTATCTTTTATTTCACTGATAACGTTATTGTGACAACTAACAAATTCTCTTTAATTTTCTTTAACTAAACTTTCCTCAGTCAAGAGAATCTGATCTGGATAATTTAACTTGGAATCGTTGGTGATATTGAGGCCACTTTCTTGAACGGTAAGCACCTATTTCACCCTGTAATTGGTTATTTATATACTAATGTGCTGCAAACGTTATTCTTTTATCATTTTTGACCCAAATTTGTATTGGTTTTGGTTTTAGACCTGTTTTTGTTATGGTAATTTGTTGTTGTTGTTGGTTAAGTTGATAATTGTGTATCTTATTTTCAGCTGGTTCTCTTAAACACTCACAAGTAGTTTTCAGTTTTTTTTTTTTTTTTTTTTTTATACTTAGTTGTGTAAGTGGTACTTGGAACATGATGTATGATAAAGGTTGGGTGCGTCTTAACAGGTAACATAGTATTTTGATTATTACCATAAAAATTGAAAACTTTAGCGTCTTAATAATAACTTGTGTCTCAATGTATTTGTTGTTTATATTTTATTAGAGTTGATCCTGAGTATGAGATTGGAGCATCAAAATTTGTAGAAGCCGTCATAAAAAACTTAGGAAATCCTGAGATGATCTTATGTCCTTGCATAGATTGTCGTAATGTTGATCATCAATCCGGTAATATTGTTGTCGAACATTTAGTAACAAGAGGAATGGACATCAAATACAAACAAAGAAATGATTGGTATGAGCATGGAGAGCAAATGACTAGTGGAGAGAGAGTAGATGAAATAGTCAATAATGAGGCATTCAATTTATATAAAGCTACCCACTATCTGGAGGAAGACTATGTGAAGTCTGGTGAGTTTGTTAACGAAGACTACAATGAGCCTATGGAAGGCAAACCTGATGATAGTTTTATGGCAAACCTTAAAGATGCAGAAACTCCTTTGTATTCTAATGGCTCACGATACAATAAATTATCGGCCATTGTAACTTTATTCCGACTTAAAACTCATAGTGGATGGTCAGATACAAGTTTTAATGAACTTCTTGGTGTATTAGCAGACTTGCTTCCAGAGGATAATGTACTTCCAAAGTCATTGTATTTAATGAAAAAATTTCTTAAGGAGTTTGGAATGGGGTATGAAAAAATTCATGCTTGTTCGAACGATTGCTGCCTATTTCGAAACGAGTACAAGGACATGGAAAATTGTCCCAAGTGTGGTGATTCAAGATGGAAGATAAATAAGAGGACCAAAGTGATAAAAAAAGGTGTCCCGGTTAAAGTTTTAAGATATTTTCCTATAATTCCGAGATTTAAAAGAATGTTCAGGTCTGAAAAGATGGCTGAAGATTTGAGATGGCACTTTAGCAATAAAAGTACCGATGGAAAAATGCACCATCCAGTTGATTTATTCACTTGATTTAGGTAAATGTTATGTATCTCTTTCTTTGTAGTACTTTACGAGTAAAATATATTTATTTTTTTTCAATTACTTTTACAGGAAATTGAAGGAGAAAATGGAGAAAAGTAAACATGTATGGGCAGTCACTAGAAATCTTTTTGGGAGCTGAATGTTAGAGTAAAATATTATGTTATTGTTTATTTTTTAAATAGCACATTAGACTGTTCTCGGATGTTAAAGTTACTAGGATACTTCGTCAAACATAATAAGTACTTTGTTCTTTATTAATTAAAATTTATGAGTCATTACTCATATTGGACCATAGTATCCGATGTGTATTTAGTATTGAGATTTATCGTGTTGTTATTGTAGCAATTGCAAATGGTGATAGTAATAACTAATTACATTATTATAGAGATGCTACAATAGTGAATAATACAGGGATATATAATGCTATAAAAGATTAAACCATAGCACCTAATTGAAAACCACAGCTCAAAGAAAATGCTATAAAAGATTGAACCAGCATATAATAGCGTTTACAGTGCGCTTTTCTAGAGTTTTACCATAGCACACTACAGTTGTCATAATATAGTTTATTATAGCACTTCATACGCGCTCTTAAAAAATGTACAATAGCGCAAGATATTTGCCGTTATAGTATTTGTAATAGCATTACTTAGTCGCTATTAAACAAATTAAAATAGCGTCAGTATGGTGCTATGTTAGAATCTATTATGGCGCATTACAAATGCTATTATCGAAGTTAACATAGCATTGGCGGTGCGCTGTTGTAGTGCTTTTACCATAGCGACAAGAAAACGCTATAAAATCTCCGATATCTATTATAGCTCCGGCAGAAATAGCGTTTTCAAAAACGCTATCATAGGCTACGATAGCGGTTTTCAAACGCTATCGATGACAGTCTGTGGTGTAGTGAATACTTGTTTATAAGTACAACACATGCAATTTCAGACACGAATAAACAACTAAAACATACCCAAACTTCAATATTAACATAGATATAGATTCTTATTTTCCAAATAAATCGTTTAAAGTCATCCTATTCATACTTAGAGTCGAATTATATGATTTTCAACAGAATATTACTACATACAACTATCTCTAGCGACATATAACTATGGACCGAGGGATTTTGTGCACACCAGCAACAGACATTGAAATAATTTGCCACACCATCAACAAATAGGAAAACACATCAACGAATCAAAACCTAACACCAATTTGTAATTAATCTAATTTCAGTCGTGAACAAGAATAAAAAAAATTCCAGCAACATAATTTCAGAAAAAAATGTTAAAATACTAAGCCATGCTCCTAATGCAGATTTTCTTGTTGTGGGTGCCAATGTGATTACACCTGCTGCACTTCATCTTCCTTGATATGTTTTCCCCAACAGAAGGAATTCATTTGTTCTTCGGCCTGCCACGCTGAGGTTTGAAAACAGGGGCACCAATTTCAATAGCCGGAGGCCGACCCGCATGAGTAACAAAAGGCACAATAGTGTGTGAATACACTCTTCTATAACAATTTGTACAAAAGTGGTCGTCAAAATAATCATACCCACCACTCTTTTTGTACTTAAACAATACACAGACAACATAAACACATGGCAGCCCATTGATCTGCCACATTCTACATGTGCAACTTCTGCTAGGAATGTCAAAAACAACAATTGGATCACTAAGCACCTCAAATAAATTATCAGATGCTTGACGAGCAGCGATCACTCTAGCATCTTGAACAAGACGATCAATCATATCTTGGACTTTTTTGCACAACACATATGACCATTTAGAAGCATCATTACTGGCAAAACACATGTCAACCATCATTTTGCTTCGGATACCATCAATCATATTTGTTATCGGCAGTCCACGAAAATCAAATAAGCTTGAATTCCACGACTCTGCACCACTAGACGCAACCTGCCCATATCTCCTGCCACCAAAGTAAGCATGAGCCCAATTTTAAGGTGGTAAATTACATAAAAAGTTAACAACCCTGGGGCCACCGTTCTTCCTAAACAATTCCATATTCTGGTCAAATTCTTCTCTGTTAGCTGCATAAACACATGCATTAAATTAGAAAGATATCGCCTTACGAAAAGTGGCAGTACTCCCCCGGAACTTGTTCATCAAGTTTTTCTGGATATGATAAACACAATATGAATGGAAATAGCCTGGAAATATATTCTTCACTCCTTTCAATATTCCACTGTTCCGGTCTGACATAAATGTCAACGTACGTTCTATCCCAATCGCAGTCTTCAGGTGTTCAAAAAAATATGCCCAATTGCAATCAGTCTCCTCATTCACAACAGAAAAAGCTACATGGAATAATGCTGAAAATAAGACTAATCATTAAAACATGAACCAGCGCATAGTAATATACAATTATCTAAACAACATTGTATTGATCACTCACCATTTTGACCATCCTTCCCGACTGCAGCAAGCGAAATCCCTCTATATTTCCCCTTCAAGAACGTACCATCGACGGACAAAACTGGCCGGCATGACTTAAAACCCATTAAACAAGCACCCACAGCAAAAAAACATCGCCGAAACCTATTCGTTGCTTGATCAATATCCATATGATATACACTTTCAGGAATGGTCCTACCAAGTTCTTCAAAATAGGATGGCATGTATGAATACGATGTTGTGTGATCACCGAAAAGGGTGTCCTTGGAGGCCTGAATGGTCCTCCAACCAACATAGTAGCTGATACCAAAATGAAGCTTCACATGGACAACCACATCATTGGCCACCCACCCAGCCTTAGATCTGACTTCACTCATCACCAACTCAGCAATTATATCGGATGTCAACCTCTTCTTAATAGACGTAGCAAATCCACAACCACAGGTGTGATGCTTGACATATCTTCTCATATAAAAGAACCCATTGGCCTGCTCAATCGATACATGCATCCTCCACATACAGTCCTTCACATCCCTATCGTTACAAACTGTAGTGAACCTAATACGCTCGTTCTTAACATCCCATCTCAATAGCATAAAGACATAACGCCTTTCTAAAATCCTTCGCACCACCTTCAAACACTTTCCCAACATCTTTAATCATATTTTCCCAATTAGCAGTCATTAGCTGCGGGGGCTAGCTGTCACCAAACTACACGGATTAACACCGCAAACAACTCAATCGAATTCCGGTTCATACGTATTTGGTAACACTAGAGCCAACCCAACTAACCCCCGACTATCACCCACTCTCTGTTTTTTAACTACATCAATCCGACTTATTGATAGTTCCCTCATAGAAGACAACATGAACAAAACATCATCATCGTCACCCAACACACCCTCCCCGACACCGGGTATATTGTACGACATAACCACGTTGTTACGCTGCAGTTCATTAAACTTATTGCTCACAAATCCAATTAACTCTTCAAAAATAAAATCTCCAACACAATTTTTAACCCCAAAAACACCATCAAATTTCAGAACGAAAGTCACACATGAAGACATATTGAGAAAGCACTCTGCAACACATGAAATATTTTCAATATAACTACGTAAAACTACTCAATGGAATTCATCAGACTGTGACCACATAAACGCGAACACACTGCAATGAACGCCATTCAACCACCTCAAACGCAAAACCAACAACATCATATATAACTAGTACTAAACTGTAACTGGTCTTACACATATATCTTACATATGGATACACATTGATAATGAACTCTACATACGCGAAATCTGATAAACATTACTACATGTAACTACCCACTATAAAACACAAAAACAGAGAAAACATCAATGCAGGATCACTGCATAAACATATTTAAAGACAAAAAAAAAAAACACAAGATCTACAAAAATTATAAACAATTTACATATTACATAATTATTTGTCGACAATCAATTGAGATATGTTAAAATTTAAACAACACTTACAGAGACGATGTCAGCGTATTCGAAAATGTATTATACAGAGATCCACAAATTACACCGTAGAAGAAAATCGAAAGGTTTGACACAAAGAAAATCTCACGAAATCACGAAAATCAGTTTTCCTGATACTTCGCACGTTTTCCGCATTCAGAGGGAATTATAACGCCGGTATTACGTATACATGGCAACATTCACGTTTAGGAAAATTGCTATTAATGGCAGTTTAGGTACTTCATGTATGCCGAGGGGGTCTGTCAAATTATTTTCGAAATGAGGGGGGTTAGCCATAGGGTGGAATCCGCATGGTAGTTAGTTAGATATAATTTGAAAATTATATAATATATATATATATATATATATATATATATATATATATATATATATATATATATATATATATATATATATATGTATATATATATAGAGAGAGAGAGAGAGAGAGAGAGAGAGAGAGAGAGAGAGGAAATTAATATTTCCTATTTTTTTTTAAAAAAACCAGTTCAAACGGTTAGAACTGTCGGTTCTCGGTTCGGAAAATGAGGAACCGGAATCGAACCGGTTTTTTCAGTTCCGGTTCCGGATCCGGTCAAACCGGTTCCGGTTAGGTTCTAAAACCGTTGACCCCGGTTCGGTTCCGGTTCCGGTTCCAGTTCTAACCGAACCGGTGGTCAGGTTGGTCAGGTGTAGCTACAGTGTCAAGCGGAAGTTGGTAGCCTTTGATAGCTCTATGGAAATGCGACGTCGTTTGGACCGCCTCCTCCAATCATTTCTCCGCTTTATTTTCTTTTCCCATTTCTTTTCACGAATGCACGATCGAGATTCCTGCTTCAGAATTTCAATTTTCTTTTATTCGTTCTCAATTTAACTTCCCCCTTGCCTTCTCTTTCTTCCGCCGCCGCAATTGTTGACCTCCGTACCGCAGCGCTCTTCTTCTCCCACTCACAGGCCTGCTTTATTTCTTCCTTTAATTCTTTTGTACACGGTACTTATCCATCAAAATTTGCACTTCCTCTCTTCCTCACTTGTGTGTCTCTCGATTTGTGTTCGTCTCATATCTTTCGATTTCCTA